CTGTGTTAAAATGAAAGTGGTTAACTGAATATTTGTCATGCGCAAACACAAATTGCTACAGAAACTCCGAACGACATTTTTCTGAGGAAAAGTAGATCCTACCGCATTGAGTTCCTGGCACGGCTTCTTGTTCTTCTGATCCTATATGAGTGAAATCAAATTTTACACAATCATTGTGCGAAATCATGGAAAACAGCCGGTAAAGCTTTAACATGTACTAGATATAGAACGTTTATGGTTTTGCCCGCAATTCCCCAATTACGGTCCACCCAAAGGCTTTGCCCAGTCTCTGAGCAGCAACCTGATTAGCACCCAGTTTGGTATTCAATTCCTTTCTGTTAAGGGCACTAACGAAAACAGCACCTTCTCCTCAGTTATTTTAAGACCAGTAATCATGGTATTGGTCCGACAAGGGTTTTGAACCCATACCCTACATCATAACGTACCCAGCCAGCATACCTGCACTGATATATGATHATGATGAGAAGAACAACTCCAATCAGMAAACAAACTGCAGGTATCACGATGATAACGATTCCTTTCTTTCCACTGCTGAAAGATGAATCTTTCAAGGATTCTGCATTAGACTTGTCATCTTGAAATCTTAGTTGTGGTGTTGATGTTTTCGTAATTATCTCGATGGCACTTGATTTTGGGTTAGGCGTTGAGGAAGCCGTTAATGGTGTTGTGACAGGCACTGTAGGAATGCAGCAAGAATATAGGCTATGAACATGAGGGGGAAATCTACAATACGGGTTCGTTCTCCACACGCGTCAATAGTTTTTTCCTGAATGCTTAGTGTGACAATAAGTGTATGTAGTTCACTTGCTTGTCCTGCTTGTTTGATATTCATTTTATTTCTTTTGTCTCATGTAGTTTCGTTTAAGAAAAAATAACTAAAATAATGACATTAAAATGATTGGCGTGGGCTTCCCGTGAAATGTATATGATACTACCAGAATTGTCGGTTATCGTACGTCTGTCGGTCTTGTATATACTTGCTCTAACTCTACCTATACCGGGATACGTCTAACGGTTGTCAATAACGATAAAAATATTGATAACATCAACAATTACCTTATGATACTAATGTTTTACCTTCCTTTACTTCAGTACACTGCTACTGCTATATTCTCGCCTGTCTTCAGGGTTTTTCGACTTTATATATTGTCCTCACACACCCAGTATTGTTTGGGGTAAAAATCACTTACCCCCAATTGATATCTTAATTTTACTCAAAATATTGGGTCAATCAATACCTTTACCCGATCGATATTTTGACTGAAACTAAAATGGAAAGGAAAGCGTTGCCGGCGACACGAGTGAAAAACGTCTGCGAATGCTCTGAATCCGTATGCCAATTAGTCAAAACATAGGTAAATTCGACTTTCAATCATGCCTTATAAATTGGACTTCACAAAATGCCAAAACTTAGTGTCCATGCTTGAAAATTAAGATACTAACAGGATACGTTTTGCTCGTGTTCGTATCTTTACTCACCTTGTGGTATGGACACACGATATTCTGCTCTGAATCCGGAGCTGTTATTTGATTCATCCGAACGAAAGACGAACCGTACATCACTGTTTGCTGACAATGTAAAGGGTACCTTGGTATTAAGGGGAATCGCATGCCGTGATCTAAAACTGCCATTGATGCTTTTAGAATATTTCAAAGAGTCGCTTTCACGCAAAGAGAAGTTAGTGAAGTGAACATGCAGGGTATGATTATCAGGGACCATGATCCTCCACGAGCACAGCTGTCCATCCGGGTATTTACCAGGGAATCCAGGGGACTTGAAAGTGCCTTCCTTTTCTGTCAGGGTATACTTGCAACCTGAAGAATAATAAATATTATCTTTGGACTACATTTGGCAGCCACCTTAATATAGTAAAGCATTTTACTTTGTCCAACTTACTTTCATAAAAGCAATAAAACATGGTGATTCCTTTGTCATAAATCCCACCAAGTTCATGATATGGCACTGTTCCATCCGTCTGTTTATCGCGTTTTGTGATATAGTTCCGTGTGTGGTACTTGATCCATTCAGTTGTAGCTACCATCCATTTGACTTGTTGACAGTCACGTGACCCATAAGGCAGCAGATAAAAGGGTTTGGTTATCGGTAACGAGATTGGAATCTTTTTGTCACCACTTGTTTGACAGGAAAAATACAACCTCGTGACTTCGTATGATCCGAATATCTTCTTTTTAAGAAACTCAAAGAATTTTGTAAATTTAGATTGATCTTTGTCGTAGTTATTTCCCCTGTCATACATAGCAATCGACCCACTTGTCATGTCATGCAACGTCTTGCTTTTGTGAGTGTATACACAATATTTTCCTATAAGATAACAGTATTAAAGAGTAAGCTCGGGATTGCCTTCGTGGCCAAGGACGAGCATTTACATTTACTACATGTGCTGCTCCCGTGAAATAAACTCTAAGATATGAATAGTAAGCTATAGTAAGTCTGCTATCTCTGGCTGATGTCGATTACCGATCGGCATCGGCTATTTTTTTTTTAGCACACTAGCTCGTAAACAAAAACTGCTAACACTTTTCTACATCGACTGACCTAATGGCCAAACTTGGGTGATATTTTTGCCCATTCTTTCTGTCTTGCTGCAAAAATATCTTTTCACGTGGCTACGAGCTACTTCTCCATCAATGTGTAAAGTTTGTGATCTGTTATTACTTGGGTTTTTATTCATTGTGTCTTGGTAAAGATATCCCATGTCATCCCATCCTGCAGGACATCCTGTCCTGGGCTTGAGAAGGGTATATTTACCATAAGGCCATGTGGGCGGCGAGCCTGAGGATAATAGAGGATATATATAAACAACGTTAAATTATTGTAACGCATGCGCGACAATCTGATCGGTCTGAGTAGAGTATATTTACCATAAGGCCATGATGGTGGGCCTGAGGATAACGGAGGATATATTGAAACAACATGACTGAATTATTCTAACGCATGCTCGACAGCCTGAGTCAGTTCATATGACGTACTAAAGAGAAATCGTTTATCAACATATTAAAGTATTAAGGACTAAATTTTCTAGCTGTAATGATTAAACATATACAAAACGTTTATCAATTTAATTGATCAAAATTATTATGGACTTTCAAATTTCAAAAAAATCACATTCCAAATCACTAACCAAATGAATATTTTTTGAATTGCAATGAGAGAACAACACATCAAGCAAATTTTATAGTCACGTTGTCGTCTTAGAAATCGAAATAGCCCGAACTGAATAGACTCAGGTTATTGGATAAAGGCAAACATTTTGACTGTACATCACCCTTGGCACCATAAGTAGTACTCCATACGGAGAGTTCAAAACGACCTAAGATTGCGTACCATTGCGTATACATATTATATAACGGTATATTTAGCCATTAAGTTTTCATTAGATACCTATTTATATTCCTGTTTAGACAACTATATATAACGTGGAAATTGTGTGTTAGAAATGCGGGTCTCATGATGACTTCTAACACTCAACATGTCACAAGATCTTACCTTTATTCTCTACTGCTGTTTGTAGAAGAATCACAAAAACGAA